GATACGCCAATCCAATGCTGCGGGCATTCGCGAAACACGTGCGGTTCTTTTCGTTCTGAATCTCAACTTCATAGAACCAAGTTTACATCGCTACCTAACCGCTCACCTGTCCTCTAGACTAGAGGCTCTAGTACATGGGTCACTTACATTACTTACTAGAACCTGTGTCAACAAGTTCTTACATTGGCATTGGCATCATTTCCTTCTAAAAGTGATAGCAAACTTTGTGTCGCGTGAGTAAAGCCTGATCGGACTGAGGGAGTGTCCCCTAGCACGCAATTATGAAGCGTGCGTCCCCGCACGCAGACGATAGAGAGTCTCTATTAGAGACTCATAGCCGTAAGATACGTGCGCGTGCGTGCAGAGCAAGTTGATATGATCAACTACTCTCACTCATGATGAATGACGCTGTAGCGTAGTAATATGCTGCGGCGTGCACTGTTATAGTACAGTGATGGAACCCTTTGGTTCTTCTCACCCAACCCTCCCGACCCGGGAGATGTGTGAAGGTTAGCCTCACACATCAATCACGTTGCGGTGGCGCAGCGCCAATAATGCGGGCCTGCCGGCTCCGGGTTTCGTGTTGGTGCTTCTCTGCGGCTACGTGATTCCTCACCCCCACTCCCGGGTCAGAAGGGTTTTACCGGCTATTCCAACCACCGCAGACGCGGTAAGGCGCTTCCTGATAATGACCAAAGACCATTCGCATTCTATGGCAGCTCTCAAGAAGTTGCATGAACTGCTAGAGTTACCAGTCTCGTTCTCAGACAGTCTAACCCTATCTCTGGTACGTAGCATCCGGGAAAGAAGAGACATCTCACAGAAGACAACGAGAGCTCACCGTTTCCTAGCAGGCTCACCGTGAGCCTGATAGGAAACAGAAAAATAAGCAAACTCCCCAATCAGGGACTCCTTATCCTCCCGTTTCCCGGAATCGGTTTCCGGGCAAAGCTCGGGCATACATTCAAAAAGGCACAGGTGCGCTCAAGTAATATTGGGGCTCGGAGTTTCTGCGCCCAACTTTCATAACGTAAATCTCGTAACCAGTGTGATGGAGTCGGTTTCTTGCATGAAGCTGTTTTGAATGAGTTTTCGTCCCTAGTTGGTTGTGGAACACTTACACATGTCCAAGTACATGGGCCACAGTCCGTGACATAGCTCATGTGACGAGGTTAGAATCTCACCGTAAGATGCTGTGATAGGATTAACGAGGGTTATCGAAACACAACTCGAACTTGAGCCAAGATGGCTACGGAGTTCTCGACACTTAGCAAGAACAGATTGCACCGAACTCGCATGTTCGGTTCCAGCTAAAGCATCCGTACGCACGCACAAGCCCGTGACAATACCGGTGTCACGCAGGCTGTCCAAAATCTACCATACTATAAACTTGAAGGTTATAAACTTGAAACGATAATACTCGGTGAAAAAGAGCAAAGCTCATAACACCGATCTATGTTCACAGGCCCAGAAATCAAGAGTCTCGATCTCACCGGGCTCATCATCCCATTCAACGTCAACCCGACCCGAGGCACGCATATCACGCACTGTACCCTTGAAGCACCGGCGCACAGGTCGTCGC